TGAAGTGTTGTCATTCCCAGCTTCGTCACGGACATCTTGATGTAGATGATCTCCGGACTCAGCTGGCAACTGACTGTGTCTGCGCAAGATTACACTACCATGTTTTAGTTGACCTGTTTGCCAATTCCAGCAAGCAGTCTTTAGTAATTTCGCAGCTGTGCACCATCACCACCACCAACAGCAACAAGAAGAAGAAGAAGCACAATAAAAGAAAGAAGAAGACAAAGATTATAACAAAAGCAGCAGCAGCAGCAGCAGCAAGACCAATAATACAAACAACATCACAAATAACCAACAATAACAACATAATAACAACACTTACAGCAATAATAACAACAATAACAGCAATAACTACAGCAATAACAACAATAACATCATCAACAGCAGCAGCAACAGCAGCAGCAGCAGCACCAGCGCGGCCTCACATTGTCCCAGTCACACTCACATATGAATATGAAGTGGATTAGGAACTCTTCAATGCATCAGCAGTTAGTAAGGCTAAGGCACTGGGCCTCAGGATGGTTGTCCATCCGGTACCACGTTCCCCTCTCTACTGCCACCTTGAGTTCCGAGCGCAGCGAGAAGTGGTAGCGCGCGCCGGGCTGATAAAGTAGGCTCACATCTTTTGTCCCCCACAGATATTTCACCTGCCAGCACAAGACAATGCACAGTGCGCACTGGGCCAGCAACAAAGTACCAATGTGAAAACCGTCTTCTTCAACACCTTAATCTGTCAATTAGCAACTTGGCCAACACATGTAACATAGTCAGTCCCACCCAATTGTGAGCCAGGCCTCTTCAATGACTGGGATGTAGAAAACTGTTGGGCCTGCCCCGCAGTGACTGTAGATCTTGTTACTGCGGCTGGCGCCGCCGCTCTCATCTTTCTGCTTCTTGACGAGCGGAGTGGCAGTAACGTCAAGAACAGTGCGGCGCGACATGGCGTGACAATGCAAAAAGCGCAGACCCAACACACTGTTTTTCCTTGAGTCAATGTCAGTAACAGTAACAACTGACTCGATGTCATGGCACACACGTCACAGACAGCAAACGCAAAGCCTGAGTTCCTGACACTGATGATGCAAAAGTCCAGATTCAGCCACCAGCACCTGCCAGGTCGGAATTTTGGTAACACAACTTTCAAACACTCACTTTCAAACACGCCGGCTCCACATCTCACCAGTGCTGCCATGGAATCAAGGAACACACTGTTTGGCTTGCTGGGTTAGATTGTCATATCTCAAATGATGCTTCAGAGCTTGAACTTGCTTCGGCTTCTGAATCAATCAGACGATCCGTGACTCCCCTGACAGCACTGGCAACCTTGATAGCCAAGCACAGCCATTCAACATGAGTTGAAGAACCTGGAGTCGTAAGGTACCTAACCACCGCCGAGATATATCCGCGGATCCGACTATCACTGAAACTCCGTTTCAACTCGTCCGTAATGTCCTTCCACTGAATCTGCAAGTCCTTCAGGCTCATGCTGAAATGCGTCATTTCCTCAATATCCTTATCATCAGCGCCAAATACTTTGAAGATTGCCAGGATCAAAATCCGTTTACCCTTTGGCGCCAACGAATGCCATTTGTTGAAGCGGAAGTCGTTCTCATTCTGAGTCTGGCCATAAAGCATCAGACGAAGAGATTCCAGGTCCTCAGCCTCGTCATCATCCACCTGCATGGCCGGACGTTTCTCGATTCTTGCAGCAGCAGGACTCTTCATCGCTTTGGCAGCAGGGCGCTTCATTATCGCTTTGGCAGCAGGGCGCTTCATCTTGGAAGCGAGGCGGCCTCAACACTACTATGGGCAGGGTTCAGTCACCCTCAGATCCAACTATTGAATTGCAGCAATGCATTTGTTGACTCGACAATGTCACACACAATTTCCGTAGCACAATTAAATTGCAAACACGTCCTGGAGTCAATAGCTCAGTAACAGGTCCATGAATCAAAGTCAAAGTCGCATCAACGCGCCAGCCAGGCCTCTCAGTCATTCAACTTTCTGAGTGAAGGGAGTGGGACACACAATTAATTACTTTTGGCAATGCAAAAAATGAAAAGTGTGAACGGACGATCGTGGGTTGTGACACACACACACACATGTCACATGTCGTTGCTCATTTCGTAGCAAAGCCTGTCACACACAGGTGAAACTAAGTTGGAGCTCAAAACTCACACCTGGCTCAGAGTCTCAGAGGTCTCTGACAAGACCGAATGTTGTGCCACAAGAGCTTCAATGATGTACTCCCTGTTGCACCACATTCGCAGCGACTTTCTCTTTCTCAAAATGCAGTGGACTGCAGTTTCAAGGCTACATCGATGGTGCATCAATAGGAACGCCACAGCTGCAGATGTGCTCCGATGCGCTCCACCATGGCAATGAAACAAGATGCTGCGACAACGCCCTTCAGTCCAAGCCCGTGTAGTTTTGATGTCATTATACATGTGCTGCCAAGTCCGATTTTGAAGTCGTTCTTGAAGAGGTTCCACTCCTCACCCTGTAGATGGGTTTTATCCCACAGGCCATAAGCTAGGCGATCTACTGCTGCTGTGTTTTCCACACGTTCCATGCCATGCTCGTACTGCCAGTCAGCTGCATTCAAAGCAACGACCAAATCCGGCTGCACAGGTTTCCCGACTTGACTTATTTCACCCAACTCATGGACCCGCAGCCCGACAGCCAAGCTTCCAATCATGATTTTGAGAGCGTTCGAATTTGGACAGGAGTGATCATGGTGGTCACTGTCACTCTCGCTTTCGTAAATCACACTTGCATCCAGTGGCCACCTGGTCACCTGGTCATAGCCCAGCCCGTCCTCTGCAAATCTTGCCCACTCCTTTTCCAAATGCAGGTCCATGTCCGTCCAGTCACTTCTGTACTAATACGCATCTTCCACCATGCGTTGGATCAGAAGGGATTTCGGTTGATGATATATTCGGGACATCATTGATTGAAATTGGTGAAGCTGAAGGCAACGCGACAAGCACACTGTTTGACATCATCACCGCCCCCCGATTGCTACGAGCCGATGCAATCAGGTTTAAGATCAGTAAAAACACAATGACCGACCATCATGCGTCAGCATTAGAACAAATATTTACAAAATGAAAATGCAAAATCAACAAAATTGCACGGCATTCATGAAGACACACATCATACAAATGACAAAAAATGCA